TTCCTTTGAAAAAAGTAGTTTCCAAATGACTTTTTGTGTGATTTCTGACATGGATTCAGAGTTGGAATGAGTGGGTCAGTTTGTCTAAAGCACAAACATGCGTCTTGTCTGTTCCTGACCTGTGGCACATCTAGTTCTTGAGTAGATCTTGAGGCCGGCATCTGTATAGAATGTTGACTTTTATTTTATGGCTGATACGTTTTATGCCTGATAAATTTTGGGAGTTCAGGGACTTTCTATAGCGACATTAAAAATTACCTGGGATATCTTGATGCTATGCTGATTGTAATTGAACAGTGGTGTTATAAACCACAGGCTCATCCTCCAGGAAGGGGATCCTACAGATAACCAGTGCCTGTGACTTGGTGGTTTCGGATGATTGAGGGTGACAGGTTACCTACACTCTAATACGGTTTCATTGCCACTATGGCATTGCTGAGCATTGCAGGGACACGTGGGTTGAGAGCCTGAGAAGAGGCGTGCTGAAGTGGACTTTGTTTTGAGAAGTCAATATCAATCCTGGTGTGGTCCAGGGACTGGAAGCCCATGAGCAATTTGGGCATGGTTCATAAGCCCTTGTGCACATCCCTTCACCCTTTTTTTTTTTTTTTTTTTTTAACTTGTTTTTTTTTGTGTGGTTTTCTTGGTTTGGTTTGGTTTTTTAATTTAATCCTAGTTTTACCAGTAAGGAATCTACTTTACATGCACTGCGACTGCTCCAAGGCGCAAAACAAAAGCAGGGGCAAGTGGGAGAGATTTCCTTTAAAAGCACACTTGGAGCTAAAACAGTAGTGTGGGTGCATTGTACTTTGCCATATTTCCTATAAATCCACAGAATGTTTTGAGGAAGACTTGGAATTTTTATAGGGGCCAGAAAAAAGGGCGTCAAGGATCTTGTTCATTTTCAGAATGGATTTGCGACATACAGGTACAAATACCTTGAGATATTTTTAATGGGCCCTTTGCAAATTAGGCTAGAAATCTAAGACTGGTAGGAATTATGTGTCATTCCTACTTATTTTTGGCTCATTTTTCTGTGTCTTTTCAGATATTTAATTGCTGTATCTAAAATAAAGAGCAATATTAATATCTATTAAGTGCCCAAAATAAGTAGTCGATTGCACGTGGAAATAGTGGATTTTGGGGAAATAAACCAGAATTAACGAAGTAGATTTGTTAGCATGTGGGGTATGTGTGTATATGCATGGGTGCATACATAAAGATAACTCTTTTTTTTTCTCCTCTAATTTTCTTCTTTTCAGCCTTTCCTCCTCTATTCGTGTTTCTGTCTCCATTTACATGACGCCACTTTTAAGAAATCTTCTCCGTCACCTCCCAAACAAGCCCTGGGGCCATGTTGGGGCATTAGGGAAAATGGAGTTCAAGTGGTTCGTAGGTTAGCAGGTTTATTTTCTTTCCCATTACTGTTTTTCTTTGGCAGACATCCTTGGCAAGTTGTAACTTCAGCATGAAGTGAGGGGGTGGCTGTGCATGTTGAGCACTTGAGAGCAACATGGCTGGTGGCTTTGGGGTCGGTGCCACTGACCCCACCCACCTCCATCCCACCTCTGCTCCTTTTCACTGTCATCTCCTCACTGCCACTATCTCGGGTCATTCCCACTGGTTACTTCCCAGGAAGCTGTGAGCGAGAAGGAGGGAGGCAGCACAGTTCCTAGGGCTGGCAACAGCAGCAGCTTCCCTGTTGCATGCAATGGGGTTCACGCAGCTCTGCGCTGCTTCTTCAGCTGTCTGCAAAGTCTGCTCCCGGGGCTGGAGGTGGCCACACTGCAGAGCCCTTTGCTGGGGGATGTTTGGCTTTCCCCCTAGTTTCGAGGGTCAGCAGCATAAGCACGGCAGCCAGAATCAAGCCTGGTATCAATTCAAAATTTGTCAAAGGGAAATAATTATTGTATCTTCTCCTATCTGTACTTCTGCTGTATTTTCTCTTAAATGTGATAGCTTGCTTTTGGGATGGGGAGGAAGGTGGTTTGGTGTTGCTTATTCTTCTCACAATTCCTCACTTCCCTTGGCTGTCCGATAGCTGGGTGATGGTTGTCTCTGGGGTGCTGGCTGAGCAACTGGGCCTGTGATGGGGGGGAAAATACAGAAACGAGTTTTCAGAAAATTTAAATAAGCACCAAAAAAATGGATAAAGCAATATCTTGGTAAAAAAATGGAACCTTTCACATGCTTTTCAGTTTCATGTCCTCATCGGGCAAGCCATGTATTTATTGAACACATTTCTATGTTTTTCTAGTTGTCACAGTACAAAAGCCAGTGTTGCACTGCCATCTCTTGATAGCCAGGCAGGACAGCATGTGGCAGTACTCCTCCTTGCCTTACCAAAGCATCTTGTGGAAAACACTTTGAACCAGCCTTGAAAAATGATACTCAGTTGACTCGGGCAAGGTGAATAACACTTTTGACAAACAAGCAAAACGTTAGCTTTTTTTCTTTAGCTATCTAGTTACATAACAGGTGGATTTATGTGGCATCTCCACAATTCTGCTTTAGGTGGGGAGCACTCTTTATATTAATAAGGCAGGTCTTCTCTATGTAGCACATAGCACTTTCATCTGATTTCTACATTTTGATCTATCTTTTTGGATGATGCAGTGAGATTTTAAAAATCAGTAACAGACCCATGAAACAAATACTACCTTTTGTGTGTGTATGTAATGTAAAAAGGCTTCTCCTTATGAGTCTTAAATTTAATTACCTCTTTTATGAAGAAGAATATTGTTCCTCTTCCTACAGAACTTCTCTGTAATAGGCAGTCTTAAATAAAGATGGCTTGCACCAGGTATGACAACAAAACATGGCTGAATAAAATTAGTGTTTTGTCCTGCACGTGGTAGAATTGGTTGCTAACGCATGAAATGGCTAAAAATGACATTCATTTCACACACTGCTCAATAACCGAGCCCTCAAAGTATATTGTAATTTGGCAGGTATGCCTTGTATGTGAGGCATCACTGGGGTGGGGTAGGGTTAGTATCAATGTACCTTTCTTTACAAGGTGTGTTGCACTATCTAGAAGTTACTGTACTGAAACAATTTTTCCTTTAGAAATGAGAAGGATTTAAGTAGCTCTGCATTTTTATTTATTCCCTTAAGAAACTAAAGCCATCTTCCACGCCTTCGGCAATGCGGTATGCTCAACCTGCTCTATAAGCACGAGATCTGGGTTTCTGTGGACGCATCCAGCATCGTGTACAGCCCCCTGTTTCCCATGCGGGATAACCCTGGCTCTCCCACTCGGGTCCCGCTGGTCCCAGCTGGGTCTGAGCCCTCCCTGCGTAGCTCTTGGACTGTGTCATTTTTCTTGTGCCCTTTCCAAACCGAGCGGGCAGTGCGCACTGCTCTCCCTTCTACCCCCAGCTATTAGCTGTGTGGGTGGCTGCGCAGCTGGGGTGGGTTTGGGGGTGTCCATGTGCTCATTGACTCACCAGGGTTCCTGTGTGGGTTCGGGCAAACGCGCTCCTTTTGATGTCTGAGTTTATCCTGTAGCCCCTCCTCTTTTTGAGGAGTTTAATTGCGTCTTTCCTCTACAACTTTATGGGACTTGTAGGAAAGTCACATCTTGGAGAGCTCTTCCCACTGTCAAATTTGGTTGCAATTGACTGTAAAATTCAGAAGTTAGGTGATAAGAAAGAGAGTGTGTTCATTTTCTCCTGTTTCCTTGGGAAATCTTGCTAGGAAAAGATGCCTAGAAAGAACATGTATGGTAGCTTTATAATGCCAATCATAACCTTGTAGTTGTTGCTTACTGCTGCGTTCACTGCGGTCCCACTTCGAACAACAGTGGTTAATGGCCTGACCACACAGCCATGTAGCAAGATTTTTATTTTGAACAATACAAGAAAGCCTCTTCTCTAGTCCTTTTTTTATATCAGATCCAGGTCAGACTTTGTCAAATAGCAGTAGGAAAGTTGCTTACCTTCTCAGACTCCAGTTCCATAGAAGAAAACGATGGTGGTGGGTGGCTGGGTAAAAACCTTGAAGGTCTGCTGATGAAAAGTGCTGGGCAGATGCTAGGAACAGGAGATAGACCTTATTTCATACTATGTTCTGGAAGCTGATGTTTTTACTTGTTTACTAGTTTTCATGGAAAGATCAGGATCTTCAAACAGTCAGAAGTCATGAGAATGTTCTCAAAAATGAAGCTTAAAGTTAGGAAAAATACTGTATTCTGTCTCTTCATCTTAATGTTTCAAAGACTCTTATTGCTTCATATTTTCAAATTTGTTATCAAAAGTATATATAGTCTGATACATTATTTGTCTTGCTAAATATTTACCATTAATAAAATCAAGGGAAAATTGTGTACATATATCCATCAATATTTTTAAAGGATTGATTGAAAGCCTAGAGAAATGTTACTAAAAATGGTCTGTTTAAAGCTTGTCTCTAATTTCAAGAATTCCTTTTGCATAGCATAAGTGTATGGCTGAGACGTTTTCTAATTTTTAGTGGAAATAGCTGAGCTTTCTTTGAACAGATACAGTGTTGTAGCCCATATTGCACCTTTTGACTAGAGGAGGAGTACCTGAAGACTGAAGTAGAAAGTAAAAGTGAGAACTTGCCTGGATACCAACGTGAATCCAAGTTCTCGGTCTTCTTTAGCCAGGCAGAGAGAAATCCACATTTTGAAAAATGTGTTGCCTAGCAATAATGTTGATTAGATGAAACTCACTTGATTATTTTTTAAAAACCTGTGAAATGAAGCCTTTTTAGTACTGGTATTAAGTGTCATAGTTCCCCTGTCCGTACCAATTTGTATCATTTGAGAATCCGGCCCTTCAATATTTAATTTACTGACCTTTATGTTGTGGTGAGACAAATGACTCTTTAATGACTACAGTAGTTTTATTTGCATTATAAAATAAAACCATTGTCTATGCTGCCAGGGAGCTACTTACTTTTATAAATATAGCATTTGTTTAGAAATATGTATTGGGTACTAAAAATATTTAATTGACCTACTTTTTTATTTTCAGGGTTGTGTCCTTTGTTGTGACCTCATGGTTTAACTGGGAATAAAGATGAGTATAAGTAGTGATGAGGTTAACTTCCTGGTATATAGATACTTGCAAGAGTCAGGTAAGTTTTTATAATTCTGGTTGTTAAACAATGCATAATTTATTTGGTATTCATCTGCAACTGGCTTTAGCAAATGAGACATCTAATTATTTTGCCAGTAGGCATGTGCTTCTGTCTGAACTGTTTCTTGGTGTTTCTTTTCAACAAGAGAATGAATTCCTGCCAAGTTACCTTCTGTAACTTTATCACATTTAGTCATTTGGAGTCTCCAGATGGCAATCAACCAACTAAGGACTCACTTGATTGCTAGAAATGCATTTTCCTGGAGACCACTTATCTACAGGGTGATGATGACACTTTGCACCGTTTTCTTTGGGGCTACTTGAAGAAGAAAAAAGGATGACCACCAAAATACTGTTTTTTCCCTGTTCTGTCTTGGAGTGATGGTGCTCCTGTGTGCTGGTCTTGCGTGGCTGAATTCCTTGCCTGGATGTGACTGTGGGAGGGCAGATGTTGCTGTATTTCAAAGGAAGATGTGGTAACTGTGACCATATGACTTGTATAATTTGAATCTAAATACAGATAAACAGATTTTTTTACAGGAATAACTCTTAGGTTCTCAAAAGCCTCCCTCCCTGCAGGACACTTTCTTGGAGGATTTTGTCCTTTGGTGTCAGGCTAGCCAAAGGCCCCTGCTTCTTAGGAGTAAGAGCAAAAGACAGTTGAATATTGTCAAACTTGAAAAGAAACTTTTTTCCTGTCGTATTTGTCCAATCTGACTGTGTCTGTAAAATACAAGCAAGAATGCAGTAGTGTTCCCTTGGACAGTTTATTTCTAAAACTTCCCAAACCCAGTCGGATCAGCAGTTTGAGTTTGTGTTGCATGTTTGGGTTTCTAGATGCAGCCATATGGCTGCAGGGGGTTTTGTGGTGGTGGTTGTTCTTGAAGCTATGTAAGAGACAACCTTATCTTTTACTTACAGCTATGATATTGATTGCTTAAAGCAGCCTACGTTTAGAACGGGTAGATGTGACTGGAAATCGGGGCATGCCCCGGTAAATGAACAAATGATGATTGTCAGCTGGCAGGAGGGAATATGATCTTAGCAATACATAAAAGAAGTCTGCATATTAAAGCAAAAATAAACTCCAATCTTAAGGTAACAGCATAAGGGTCAGCTTTAATATATATGTTACCTTGCTGTTTCAACATCTACTGATTCTTAGTTTTGTTTAGTGACTGCTGATGGGTGGCTTCAGGCTTCTTGAAAATGCATTTGACTGTTGCAACATCTGCCCACTGCTTATGTCCACTGCTCATGGACTTCTCAAATTGAGACAAAGAAGCACCAGAAGCAATGGTGGATGGCAGAGTCTTTCAGTCTCTGCTTGTCAGAAGAAAGCAGAAACTCATTGTTCTGCCTGAACTTACTGAAAACTATTACACGTTCTTATTCTAGTTGCAGATTGCTTTTGTCACAGAAGCCAAACTTACAAAATTGCTGTATTTTTATTTGAAAGTTTGCAGGCAGCTTCTTAGTTACTTGACAGCAAAAGAAAAAAAAAAAAAAAAGTAGTTTAAGAAAAAATTCCATGACAGTAAAGTTAATTTGCTGAAGAAACTGGTTTTTTCTCTAGGTTAAATTTGCCTTTTCAGGGTGATCAAATAAATAGCAAGCAACTACCAGCGCTGCACTATAACATGCTTGCCACTTCTTAATCAGTGCACAATACTGATGTAGTTCTAAGTGCCAAAACATACACCATTATGACAGCACTGTACCATGAAGTGAATTCTGTTCTACGTACAGATCCATTTCACTTTCATATATAATAAATCAATGAGTAAAAATAACAAGTGAGTCTTCGTGTCTTGGAAATATATATTTTATTAAATACCATATATGATACAATACATATATATAGTTCGAGAATATATAAATATATGTAAATGCTATTGCAAATTATATATTTTATATTTTTATATTTACTCATGCACAAATGTTTTGCCAATGATACTGTAATTAATAATTGCTGTGTTTATATATAAACTTTGTTTTTTTTCTTTTTGTACATTTAAAGTAGAAACATGAGGGAAAAAACAGAGGTGTTTTGATGAGGTTTTTTTGTAGTTCATAAGCATGCTATAACTTTATATAATTTGCTTAGGTTTGTAAACGGACGATCCTACAGTGCTATGGCAAGTAGCATTGTCTATCTATAAATCAATTCTGATGTCTTTGCCTTGTCTTTAGGGTTTTCCCATTCAGCATTTACCTTTGGTATAGAGAGCCATATCAGCCAGTCTAATATAAATGGTGCTCTGGTGCCACCAGCTGCTTTGATTTCCATCATCCAGAAAGGTCTGCAGTATGTAGAGGCAGAAGTCAGTATTAATGAGGTAAGGAGGCTTTGCCTACAGGAGCATTAAGTCCTTGCTTGCAGTAAGTTTGAATGTTAGTATTTTTTCTTAACTTTCTTGTATCCTATTTATCTACTTTTACTTCAGATTCCTTACTGCTGGTGTTCACCATGACTCCAGTGGTGGAACCAGAATGGAGTGACATAACTGGGTAGGGGTTCTGCCCAGTGCAGCCACACAACACCAGGCATGGTGTTCTAGCTCATTGCTTAAAGGTCCGTTGTCTGTAGAGTTTTTACCCTAATATAATGTTGTAGTAAATCCAGACAAGTGCAATAAGATAATCATTGAGACAAGTAACCTCTTAATTTTTAGTTTTGTAGACTTGCACTAGGGAGGTGGGAGAGCACTATGCAGCTCTCATTTGGGTGATGCGTTGTTATAATGAAGTAATGAGAGCCCAAAGGCAAGGTTTCCAAATAGAGAGAGGGTTTCAGTTTGTGGCAGGAAGGATAAGGTATATGCCAGTTTGCTTTTTGCCTCTGCTGGCTAATTCATTTTGAGCAGGAGCTATTAAATTTGATGTTTAAATGGTTATTCCAGCAGTACAGAAAGCTATGTATCTTCCTGCCTGATGCTGCAGATACTTGCTCTCAATTTCCATTCTCATTTATGCCTGGAAGGTTAGCAGCTTTTGTATGTGTCAGTTATATTACAGAACAAAACTATTTTTTTCACTAATTCTGTTCTCTTTCCAGTCTCCCTTATGTCTGCTTTTTATGTGTAGTTTTCATAGTCCCAGTGAAGCAAATCCTTCCCCTTCGGAAGCCTCAGAAAAATAAAGCAAGTGATTGGAATAGAAGAAGGAGACCCTATATTTATTGCAAGGAATCCTTCTAGCTCCTAAAAATAGATCCTTACAAAGCCCTAGCATATGTATAAGGGTATTTTTAACTGGGTCTTGTCCATTTCAGGATAAAATTCTTCCTTGTTGTTTGAAAGCATGCCAGCACTGTTTAGAAAAAGGAAGAAAACTAGTCAACTCTCCAGATAATATGTTTATGGAAAGTATTAGTCTAATAGGATAGAATAACTTCACAAGCCAGTGACCTGACTTGCAATGTTTGCAGCTCTTCAAACAAACCATTAGATTTTGTTGCAGCCACTCATGTTTGAAATCATATTCATAGATAGCTTACAGAATTTTTTGGTTTAGCAGACAATTTAGCAAACTCAAAGCATATAACTTTTGATTCCAGAAGCTCTGCGAGAGGCCTGTGTCACTTTAGACTAAAATTCCAATCCTAACCACAACAGTGATGAGAGATCACTTCCAGCACCATTTGTAAACTATTTTATTATATTAAATCAAAACTTTTGCTTTAGTTTTCCTTGGAATTTTTGCCCATAATGTTAATTTGTACTTGGTGTTGTCTTTTTTTTCTCCCTCTGCTGTAATTTAGGATGGTACCTTGTTTGATGGTAGGCCGATAGAGTCTCTCTCACTGATAGATGCAGTAATGCCTGATGTGGTACAGACAAGACAACAGGCTTACAGAGATAAACTTGCACAACAGCAGGCAGCAGCTGCTGCAGCTGCAGCCGCGACTAACCAACAGGGATCAGCGAAAAATGGAGAAAATACGGCAAATGGAGAAGAGAATGGAGCACATACTATAGCAAGTAAGTTGAGACAGAAATGACCTTAACCTATGTTAACGTCATTTCCTTGTCATTTATCATAGTATGAGCTCATAGTACGAGCTAGTAGGCAATGAGGTAAATGTACAGAGGTACTAGTAACCCTTCAGCTTGCAGAGAATACCTTCGTCACAGGTGATACTTTAACAGATGGTGTCTCAACTTTGACTGTCCCCAGTCTGATATTTGCAATTGCAGGAGGAGAGGCAAACTTCTGAATTCATTAATTCACAATATTCCATTGACCAGTGTCACTTCCAGTACTACTCCTTTCTCATCATCTGAAGGTTTTTCACAGGAGTCTCTGAGAGCTCTTGCATAAAGAGGAAAAAAAAAAAATCAGAGGCAAGTCTTTAAATATTGCATCTTCTCCGCCTTGGCCCCTGTACAAGGAATGAGGAGAGGAGTCTGCTAATCCGCAGCTGGTTAAAACTGAGCATTGCTTGTGAAGCTCTGCAAACTACTTTTGACATGTTCTGCAAACCCCATGAATTGGAGAGCTGTAACCGGCCCTCTGTAGGACAGACTTCCTTGTCACGGTTGCTGAGACAAATCCTGTGTCATTCGTCTCCTTTATCTGTATCAGTTTTCATGATTTGCTATTCAGAATTATTTGATGCAACTGCTTGCAGGTTTGTTTATTCATTGGTTCTATTTTAGTCGTGATTGGGGAAACGAGTGAGTTTCATTTGTCATTACTGCTGAAAGGAACGTACCTTACAATCAGGCTTAGTATAGAAAAGTTCAGGCGACAATCAGGCTTAGTATAGAAAAGTTCAGGTCAGGCATTAAAATGTGATTTTTTTGAAAATATTGTTCTGGAAGTCTGAATTACACATTTGAGAGGGGGAGTTACAGCTCTTGCTGTGAAAGCACCTGAAGAAAAGACATTTTTGAGAAAATATTCATATCAAGCCGTGTACAAGTTTCGCATTTTACAGCTGATTTTACTAGTTTTTTTCATTATTATATATGATAAATAAACTGGAAATATAATCTTTGGCTTAAACAAATAAGCTGTCTACTTCAATGCTTTCATTTAAAAATCTCAAAAGAATATTTACTTGTTAACTGTGAACTGGATAGAGTAAAAGTAAACTTCAGATCTCAGCCACTGTTAAATGTGATGTACCAGCAACCCCTACTGGCTGGTACACCAAATTATGTTGGCATTGATTCTCTTCAGTTGAAGCGATGTTTTATATGGTGCGCTTTCTTAGAAATATGCATGTTCTAATAGCCTTTTCTGTTTTCTTACTTTTACAAACAGTGACAGAAACCCTTAATGTTAAATTAAGCAATAGATGTGAAACTGTTTGTTTAACCAGAGTGAATAAATATGGAGCAGGTGAACTGTTCAGAATTTTTTATATTTTGCATTTACACTCAGTGTGAATTTATTTTTAATAATAGGAAATGATTGATAGTAGCTGCCAAGAAAACTGTTTTGTCAGTTGAATTACCCCCAGTATGTTTTACAGAACAATATGGATTCAACATCACTTCCATGCAGAAAGCTATGTATTGCCACAATTCCACGGTAATTACTGATGCAGTTTAAAAAGCTCTGTTATCAGTTTACCGTATCACCAAATGTTATTATATTAATTAAAACCATTTTGTAAATGAAGTGTCTGAGATGTAGATTTAAAACCTGTTTGACTGCAATTGGTGAAAAGAGATTGTTGAAAACGAATGTGTCATAAACATATTTTTAAAGCACAAGATAGACTAGTAACATATTGTACTACGCGGTATCATGCCTGAAAAACTATGAGTATTTTTAACATCAGTGTTTATTTTTTAACATAGCAAAAAATTAACTTTTGGCCTCAATTTTGAAGTTTCAAAATTAAACCCATTTGGATGCTGACATTTAGAAGGGCTAAGAGCTTTCTCACATTTTTGAAACTCCCCATCTGTTTATAGTACTTCATAAACTGGAACTGGAACAATAAAGGAACATTACAGCTTTGCCAAATTTTGATCCACATAAATTGTGAATTAATTGTTATGCTCATCCCAGAGGAATATGTGATCCACATAAATTGTGAATTAATTGTTACGCTCATCCCAGAGGAATATAAGCCATACAGTAGTTACAATGTATTGTCCCAAAATATTAAAATCCACCTCTCTCTACTGTTGTTTCCCATAATGCAGATAATCACACAGATATGATGGAAGTTGATGGAGATGTTGAAATCCCTCCCAACAAGGCAGTGGTGCTGCGTGGCCATGAATCTGAAGTATTCATCTGTGCCTGGAATCCCGTTAGTGACCTTTTGGCCTCAGGGTATGTGCATTAACCATGTATGTACGTAGTATCAATGCTCATTGGCATACTTCCGTATGTTGATGGTCACAAGTTAAAATAATACCTGCCCCAACGCCCTCTACATCAAATGCCACAACGTTTGCTGTTTTGAAAGGAATACTTGTTTAAAAGGAATTAAGTGGGAGAAGGAGTTATATTCTCATTAACTGTTTTGTAGATCTGGAGATTCGACAGCACGGATATGGAACCTCAGTGAAAACAGCACGAGCGGCTCTACGCAGCTGGTACTTCGACACTGTATACGAGAAGGAGGGCAGGATGTACCCAGCAACAAAGATGTGACATCGCTGGATTGGAACGTAAGTAGAAATGGCAGTGCTCAAAATACTCCGAGAAAATCGTACCTATAATTCTGCATAGTCAAATTTTAAGTGACAGCAACTGTGCATCCTCTGCTACAGCTCCTGAAATATTTCTATTTTTGAGTTGCATTGTAATTTCTTGTATTGTACTTCAGGGACTTCTTTTGAATAAGTTGTAGTCAATGGAATAAATATCATAAATCTTATGCAGATGTATTCTACCTGAAATTTGCTTTGTGCTCTTTAGCTTTGAGTTATACAGTAAAAATAAATAAATAAAATAACCTTTTTGCTGGCAGAGTGAAGGTACACTTCTAGCAACTGGGTCTTACGATGGCTTTGCAAGGATATGGACTAAAGATGGTAAGTGAAATACTTTTAATTTCCAGTATATTTTCCTGTATTGTGGCTCACAGCATAGTTTTTTATTTTTTTAATGTATTCATATCAATATAAATTTTCAGGTAATCTTGCCAGCACCTTAGGGCAACATAAAGGTCCTATATTTGCGTTAAAATGGAACAAGAAAGGAAACTTCATTTTAAGTGCAGGAGTGGACAAGGTGAGATAATCTTTGGTAAAATTAAAATTCTTTCCTTCACCGTTATAATCTAATTGTAAGCATAATAGCAAAGCTATAGAAAGTGAGTAAATTAAACTAAAGGCATGAGATGTAACTATGTACTTACAAAGAACTTGTTATGCTAGCTATGTTTCCTTGTGTTTTATAGTAGTTTACTGAGATATTTTAATTTATTAGATTTCAGTGTCCCTGGGTCTCTTCCCAATTAGGTTAGTGTAAGTTGGAAAGTAAGTGCATTGAACTCGGGAACATTAAACCTTTGTAAAACCAAATCTTCTAAAATTTAGTGAAGCGCTTTATGCAAAGCCTCAGAAAAAAATCGTACTGGAGGAATAGGGTTCAGGCTGATTTGGATATCAGTCAAGCCTGAGAACGATTAAAAAGGTTAGAGCTGGAACATAAGAAAAGTCAATATATCTGACTGGGGAGGTGCCAGTAGCGTAATGCCATGAAGCTCATTGTTTAACTGTGTTTTATTTCACACCTCTAAACAAACTTAAAGACTCACAAGGTCTTTAAATTCAGAGCTGTTGTTAGTGTGAGAGATTTTATGAATGGTAGAAAGGGCACATAGTGATGAAGAATAGACTTAAGATGAATTCAAAGAATAGAACAGACTATTCAAAGAGTAAGAAGAGTTTAATTTTTCCTCTGTAACTGATTCAAGGTGCAGAAGTAAACACAGGCTTTCTCTTAGTGAGACTGGCAAACTGCAAGCTCAGTAAGACCACAGGCCCACAATACTTAAAACTGGCAGTGTCATTGTAAAGTAGTAGTTTTTTTCCTTTATTTATTATTTTTTTGCTGCACGCATTTAACCTGGTTTGCTTTAGTGCCCAGCTTTATAAATGCTTGTGCTGGCACAAAGGAAGGAAAAGTAGATGTCTCAAAGCGTGGAAAGGATGGGTTTCTTCTTTTGGCAGCTGTGATGGCTTATGCCAGTTTTTAAATCTTTGTGGAGATACAGCTTTAATTTGCAGAAGAATATTCTGGAGGAGATAGAAGCCTCGTTTCAGTCAATAAAACTCCTTGGACAAAGCAACTGAGATTATGCTTTGAAAAATATTCTGCATTAGCAGAAAGATTGACCCAACCTTATGCTTCTTTTCCATAAATAATTTGTGTGGTCAGTTCATGCTTCCACTGAATTCAGTGTCAAAATTTTCATTGATCATTGAGGTAGGTCAACAATATTGGCGTATAATATAGTGATTATAAAATACTAATTTTGTCATGTAAGATTTCTTTCATCAGAAGGCTGTCAGAAGTATTGGCAGAGAACAACTCAGAACAAAATTACACCCTTAAATCAAATCTTTCAGATTCTTAAGTATGAGACTAATTGTTTATGTAAAGATCTCCTTAGGGACAAATGATTATTTTAAATTACAATTTGAATATACAAGTATTTGAAATTAAAATAGGTGTGTGGAGTGGGTTACAAGAATATAAATAGGACTAAGGAGATAAATCTATTTCATTTTTGTTTATGAAAAAAAAAAAGCCCACAACCCCCTTCTTCCCTCCAGACCCCAAAATGTTGTGATTAAACACCTTTCTAATATTGCAACACATTAAGGCTTTCTACTGTTGTCTGTATGTCTAATACCATTTCCTTTAGTACTGGGTAAAGCACTAGAAATACATAATTGGGAGCAGGTTTGGGCAATGGGGAGTAGGCTAGGTAGTCTGATACATGTGAATGGGGGTAGTTGTGGGGAAATTAGCAATTTGTACAAGTTTGTTTATTGTTTATTTATCTGTTTAATACAGACCACAATTATTTGGGATGCCCACACTGGTGAAGCCAAGCAGCAGTTTCCTTTTCATTCTGGTAAGTTTTGATTTTGATCATTCAGGATTGTCATCTGAAAAGACAAAGAAAGTGTTATTTATTAAAATAAATAAAAAATTCTGAAGTTTATGGTGCTTATTTACACCATTTTAAAGTCTTACAGGCAGTCTTTGGATACTGACTCCCATATTTGTAGTCTTATGAATTTTGAGAATGTAAACAAAGATAGAATTGCTCTGATTTTATAACTGTAACTCACAATTTTATTGCAGTTCTATGGAAGTCATAAGAGATAATCCAAATATTACTGACTTTCTGTAGTACAGTGGCAGACAAATCAAGTGGGTGGGCCACGAAGGATTTCTGTTTATCAGCTAAGGACTGCATTTGTCATCTTCCTGCTACAGTAATCCCAGCTCCGCATCCCATTGTTCTGCGCTGCCTGCTGTGCTGTCCCCAATTTGTTTGCCCACAAACCAGCTGAAAGGCTGTTCACTGGCCAGCTGGGATGAGAGTGCAGCCTCTCAGGAGGTCAGACAAATTGCTTTGTGGGCTGCATGCTGTGCAAGCCTGCCAGAATCAGCTGGAAAATAGAATAGAGAGGATGACAAACATGTCATTGAAGGGCCTTTAAGAAATGTGTTTCGTTTCCACTTATTATTCCGCTCACACTACATTTTCAGTGGCATGACAACAATCAAAAACATCAATTCTTGATTTACTCCAAGCAATTCTGTGTGCTATCTGCCATAAATATCTTGGCTTGATCAAATGAAATATGTTGTCCGTGATTAAGCTTCAAGTTACCACACCTTATAATGCTGGAATTAAAGAAAGGAAATAAATCATTACCTTTCACTGGCTGCCATCTATCAGCACAAGCATGGACTGTTAGTGGAGATGAGCTCATGCATGACGATGTGTTAAGTTGTGGGAACCTGTTCCTCGTGCTGACTCTTGAGATTTATTTATAGATGACTTAACTACAGCTTGTTGTCCTGCTGCACTTTCTTCTGAATAACTGTTTCATTTCAGATATGTTCCATGTTTTAATGACTTCTATTAAATTTTGTTTCATTTCTTTGTGTAAGACCGGTTTTGGCTGCATTTCTCACTGTTCATAGTGTTTGATTATCTTTAGAACTGCTGTAAAATTAATGGTTGCTTCCTGTTGGCATTTGTTCTAAGGTGGTGCATGCTGAATTTGCAAATCAAACTCCTGCAGAATACATACCATAGTTTTAAATATCTTTCTTTTTCTTTTAGCACCAGCATTAGATGTTGATTGGCAGAGTAACAACACATTTGCCTCTTGCAGTACAGACATGTGTATTCATGTCTGTAAACTAGGACAAGATAGGCCCATCAAAACCTTCCAGGGTCACACAGTAAGTACTGGAAAAATAAAGTTGCTATATGATATTTTTATTAATGAGAGATTGGGGGCCCAGTATACTTGTCAGTATACAGCACTTGTGTAATGGTTGGTCTTTGGCAACAGGCAATAGATATACATACGCAGGTGGTCATAGTTAAGGTCATATGGTAACTAGTCTCTATCATATTAGAACAATTCTTACTCCCATGTGCAGCTTTTTTTACCAGTGCCAGGATGGCATAGCAAAAGTGAGCTTTAGAAGAACAAACATGGTAACTTTAAGACTTTGCTATGCACAGCCTATGTTGTGTAAGAGCATGCATGGGAAAATGTGATGAACAGATAGCAAAAAGTTGTTGTTATTGAAGGCAAAGCTAGGAATTAAAATTAAATGTTAAAATACTGACAGTTATACAAATACTCATAACTGCTGTCCAACTTTATCTTTTGTAAGCTGTCATTTGTAATGGAAGTGAAGACTCCAACTTACTCTCACTGTTCAATTTTAGAATGAAGTAAACGCAATCAAATGGGATCCAACTGGTAATCTTCTGGCATCCTGCTCTGATGATATGACTCTAAAGGTAAGGGGAGTTCTGGTACTAGCTCTTGTCTTTGTAGGACTCTGGAATGCAAACCATTAGCTCGAGCAATTCAGCAGTATCACTGTACTTGCCATGTCGTCTAATATTTGTTCTTTCCTAATATAACAAGATTAGGCAATCTTAGCAAATCCTTGTTAATCAGAGCCAAGCTTTGGTCCAGAGAACTTGTTACAGGCTGCCACCCTAAGACTTGGAGCATGATTTATTAGGTGCTTTTAGCTGTTTACAGAATCAGGTCATTAATCATTAAGCTGTCACACTTGATGGTTGCTTTTGGTTAAAAGGAAGAATTGGAATGCATGTCGTGTAACACATACAAGAATGGGTGACTAGTTCCTTGCCTGGTTTTCTTCTGTTTTCCCCTTCTTTCTAGTTAAAAACTCTGGCATATTGTTTCTTAAGAGACTGTGTGTACTCCTTGGTTTTTCCAGTTCATCAGGAGTCATTCTACAGTTTTCAATTGCACCTACACTTTTCCTCCAAATAATTCATAGCAACATGCTTTCTTGTAGAACTAGGGTAAACTTCTGAATGCAGAGAGGATACTGTAACTTACACATATGACTTCAAGGTGCACTAGAGATCCATAAAAAAATACCACCAGGTTAGATGCACTAGAAGAAATGAGGCTGTTCATGCCTGACAGGCCTGTGCTGTTTCCACGTTACAGATGCTTTTCCATTACTCCCATACTGCTTTATATTTAGTAGGTGCTTAGCACTATGTTTAGTAGAGTTTCAGGATATGGTTTTTTATGTTGACAGCGCTGTCCTGCTAGTAGCCCTTGGGATGGCTATTTCCATCTAGCTCACTGTTGTTTAATCAGAGACAGGGAATGGCTGAACGAGTAGCCAGATATCCCCTCCTGTGCTGGCACACAGTCAGGCACTTGCAGTGGAAATCACCTTATCTAAATATAAACATTTAAGCGTTAAGCTTCCAGTCTAAAACTAGATGTCTAGACATCTTTAGTCAACAGAGTGTCTAGCACCACTGAAGAGCAATTCATCCTTTCTTAAGTTAAGTGTCTAAGTCACGTGTGATGAGTAAACCCCTGAGAGCATCAGTCATTCTCCGTTGGCAATGGATGGAGTCAAAGTAGCCAGCTTAAGCTAGATATTTAATACTTAAACAGCTGAAACTCAGGTGAGATGAATTCCAATTTAGAGCTCAAGCTGCTGCTGCTGCATCTCAGTGAGTAGAGAGGTGACAGCTGGGAACATGTCACCGTTTGTGGGCTCAGGCAATTCAGGCAATTAACTTCTTGGTAGCTGTTTTGATTTCAGCCCAGCCTGGAAAGAATTTTATCATTTTGTTCAAGAATAACTGGAAGACCAATTGCTTGTAGATAAGTCTATGCATCACTAATCGCTTGTGGATCACTTAGTTTTCAGTGGCAGTAGGAATGAATGTCAGGTTTTGAAGCATATGGAAGATGCCTAGTGATCGATTGATTTATTTTTCTCTCTTGTGACGCCAACTTGATGTTCTCTAGGGCAGCTAATATGGACTCTTTTCATCTATACTAGTTTTGGGAAGAGAAGCTAGATTTTGATCCTGTCAATTTAAACTGGAAATACAATTTTAATTCTGTCTGCACATTGAAAATCAATTTCCCCTTCAGTGAGGCACCAGTTCTGAAAAGTATCATTCATTTAAACATACACCCCAATTGCATCTTAAATACAGTTGAGCTTAAACATGCTCCTGTTAGCTTTTTCTAACAAGAGGTGAGCTAAAAGCACTACTAAACCAGGTATCATTAAAAAAAAGCATTCGGATGATTAACTACAATATCAAGTTTCACATTTAGGAAAAGGTATAAAAGCCTTCCAAAACCCCCTCTGTATGCAATGCAAGCCCTTAATAGAATAAAGTTATTTTGTTTGTTGAAGGTTATCATGCAGGAGTTGGAGTCCTAAGGAACTCCTCCTTTGTATGAAGTCCTGAACAAACACCTGGCAATGCAAATCCTAATAAGCCAGGAAAATGCCATAATGTTTTTTGCAGTATGCATCTATGGCTTTGAATGAAAACAGAAAATTTCTCTACTATCCCTTTATTTCACTCAATCTGTGTAGCAAGAAGTTCACTTAAAAATAGGACTGTGATATTTTGTCAACTCAGACATGAACATATACATATTGCTCTTCTCATTTTAGCATCTGTTATCATCCCTGCACTTTTCAAGGGGCTTGTAGTTAGCACATGCAGATTGGCTTCTATAGACAGTACCTTTGTTACTCATTAATCCCATCAGGTACTTAAAACTCAAAGACTGGAGGGTACTGAAATAATTCTTGTCATAATTACTCTAGAAACTCAGCAGTCATAGTAAATGTTTTGAGTGGCCTAAAAGGCAGCAGTCAGGCTGCAAATGATAAAGAAGAAAGATGTAAAATGTATTTTAGTACAATATTGTGCTAAATGTCTTTGTGTTTTTGTCTGTTTTTATCATAGATCTGGAGTATGAAACAAGACAGTTGTGTCCATGATTTACAAGCACACAACAAAGAAATTTATACTATCAAATGGAGTCCTACAGGACCAGGAACAAATAATCCAAATGCCAATCTTATGTTAGCAAGGTACTATTTAATCCTGTTTTTAAATGCCTGTTAAGCATTATTTTTACTTCACTCTCTATATATGTAGGTTTACAGAATGTTTTGAAGCATGTAGGATACTTTATCATATTGTGTTTATTTTAGAAACAAAAATATGTCAAATTGAGATGTAATTAATCTGTGTTTTTTCCCTTGACAGTGCATCCTTTGATTCTACTGTTAGGTTATGGGATGTAGACAGAGGAATTTGTATTCATACTCTGACAAAACATCAAGAACCTGTGTACAGTGTAGCTTTCAGTCCTGATGGCAGGTACCTGGCCAGCGGCTCCTTTGATAAATGTGTACACATCTGGAATACACAGGTATAGCTCTTCTGTCTATTTAGAAGTTTGTGTTTTGGTCTTTTCCATCAGCACCCTTCCAACCTTTGCTCCATCGTGTTTTCCGCCACAAAGAGCTTTGCCTTTGCTAACACGCTGATTCGCTTTCTCTTTGTTCTAAGGTTACTTCTGTTAATGGATATACATTTAATTTCTCTCTTTGAAGTGCTTGCCTATGGTGAAGTAATAATTGTCTTTACGTTATCTTTACTTAGCAAACAAAAAACCTAAAAGAACCCCAACCAAAAAACCAACAGCAACAAAACGTATTCAACAAAGTGTCTCCAATGGGTTGCATCCAAAAATTGTCTTTGTTAACTCTGAACTTTAAACTCCTGATAAAACAGGTTTGCTGTGAAAAATGATGACTGGATGTAAACATACAAATCTGATAGCTATTTCATTCAATTTCACTGAAAAACGAGAATGTAAAGTGAGAGAAGACGATGATGACAAAATGTTTCTACAGAACTTTCTTAGAAAGGTCACTATTACTTGTTTTGTATTTCTGGCAAAAAAAGGGCTGACTGCAACTGAAAGTCTTAAAGACCTTGTTGTTAGGCAAGATGTGATCTCTGACTACTGGGAATTGGATATTAGTTTTTGAAAGGCTCATTTTAGTAATTGGAAGTAGTCATAAACATCCCCAGTTTTGCTTGTCAAACACGAGAGATCAAGATACGATAATTGTGTTTGTCACATCCTTTAACACAGTGCTGAGATTGTCCACGAGCCTTGCCTGGAACATTTCCTCTGAGAATTTCAGCTCTTAAAAGCAGTGGGGAAGTTTTGCATGTTGTACAAATTTTACTTGTTTGCTTGGATTTTGTTGTGTTAATTACATGTTTTGTCCCTTTTTAGACAGGTGCCCTTGTTCACAGTTACCGGGGAACAGGAGGGATCTTTGAGGTTTGCTGGAATGCAGCAGGAGACAAAGTTGGAGCAAGTGCTTCAGATGGTTCAGTAAGTGTAGCTTGACATTCTAACAACAAGCATCTTCTGGAAATCTTTTGACTAACAATGGAGACAAAATTTCCTTCTGTAGCTGAAGTTTAATACAGCTAGCTCGCATGTAGATTTTTGCATGTAAGGGTGCTGTAATGTTGAAAGGGGAATATGTCTTTATTCCAGCTTAATGCATTATTGTTTTAAACCCTCAGAAAATCTCAGAAGGTGAAGATGCCTCTAATTTAAATTTTCTATCCCTACTGGGGCTTACCATGGAAATGTGTTCATTGTGGCTGGTCTTTTCATTATAGTCTGGAAACAAGTTCCTTTTTGCCTCTTTGCCCTTTTCGAGTGAAAATGTTCAGTGTAGGTGATATTATTGTCCTATGCACGATAGGAATGAAATATCTTCTGCATTGCATTCAAAAGAAAGAGCAGCAAAACAAAGTACAAATTTCTGAATTCTCAGAATTAAAAAGCTCTTAAAAATGACAAGAGCTATATGTAAATACGAGTCTGCTTCCATTGCTTAGAAGAAGCAGAGAATAAAATCATATGTTTAACTAATTGTGAACGCACCCGCTGTCATCTCAGTATTGTATTGTAGCATCACCTCCTATAGGTCTTCTGACACTGTCCTGCAAAGTACTACAATAAAATATTAACGTGCAGTTCTTCGTAACAAGTACAATAGTCGTTTTTTGCTTGCCTCTCTTTTGCCATGGTTTTAAAAGAAAGGAGAAGAGAGCCTAAGGAAAAGCAAAATTAGAATAAAATAAGAGTGATAAAGGAATTGTATTTTGAAGTGCTGTAGCTTAAAGTAACAAATGTCAGCAAAAAGCAATCCTGGTAGCTTTGTAGTCCAGAGTCTCAGGTAGTATCTTAACACACATGCCAAAGCGTTCTCCTGTCCTGCATGCTCCATACTGGTAAGTGAGACCGCTTTGTTAGAGTTCAGAATAGAAAATAGGAAGTTCTGAATTTTAAGTAGACTAAATTCTAGAGAATTAATTTTGATTGGTGTTTCATATCATTTTAGTCTTATAAGTATAGACAATATCATAAAAGGAACAAAAGCTCAAGGCATATCCCGAGTAGAAATTAATTATCATTCTACCCTAGATGACCCTTTTATGTACATGCTGTGTACCCTTTCCAGTCTTCCAGTTAATTTGACCCAGGAGGCTGATTGTACTTGCAACAGATTGGTTTTCATTTAGTTTTTGCTCTTTTAAAAATATTGGGTTTATTTTGTTTTATATCGTTTGCTAGCAAAAGCCCTCCTCGTTCCCGCAGTTTTAAATATACTTATAGCTCATAATAACTAAGCAAATAGAGGCACATTTGAACAGTTTGATGACTAAAATCATAGCTTTTATATGATTATATTTTACTAGTAGCTTTCCGTATCTGACAGAACTAGAACATTAACTAGTTGTTAATGTTCTGATAGTAATTCATTAGGCAGCAGTACCCTTAGCAGGTCTGGCTGGGTGCTCATAACCAAAGTCCTCAACAACAGATTGGGGGGAGAAATCACCAGGTAAGACATGCAAGATGAAGCTTGCGCAATCTGTTTCATAGGTTTTGCTCAGATATTTCACACAGAATTGTACAAACGTGGAATATTGTGCAATGTGCAATTTCTGTATACGTATTTCTTTTTCTTACAGGTTTGTGTATTAGACCTACGGAAATAGCGCTACTAGTTGGAAGCCATGGACCGACTATGAATGTGTACATAGCCAAAATGACTGTCCCTGACCCATGTACTGCTATAGTCCCAATTGAACCATGGCCAGTCCACTACAGCCAAACATAAAAGAAATATATACATATACTGTATATAAAAAAAAAAAAAAGAGAAAAAAAAAATTACACCCTGAAGAGGATGACAGAGTTTTGTCACAGCTTGTGAATCCTGTTCACCAAGTGCTGGAATCTGCTGTGCCCCAAAATAACATTTAAAGGTTTTGGATATGAAAAACAGAAGAGAGAGAGCGAGAGAGAGAGAAATATACCGTATACAAGAGCAGACCCATATACATACCAAATTCAGAAGATACTAATGGCAGCCTTCATTACCCCTTCCCCCCTTTAAATCCATGATGACAATGGATTGTGGGGTATTTTTCTTTTCCTTCTCAGTAGTTGAGCAGTTTGTGTGTACAGAGAAAATGGACTTACAGAAATCTGCAGCAGTAGTTTTTTCTTTGCTTTTAAACATTGGGTTTTCTGTTTTGTTTTGGTTAAGTTTACGGATGCATGAAGTAAGGGAGTGAATTATTTTCTTGTTTATATTTTTTTCACCTTGGAAAAAAATGTTTCTTTGAAACATATTTTAATGCATTCTTTGAAGAGGTAGATTGAACCTGATGATGTTTGGTACATTTTGTGGCTCCCAGAGCACAATTTTGTGAACAGAGGGAGGGTGGAAAAGGGATTATGGAGAGAGAAGAGAAAAAAATTCTTCAAGGCGTGATATTTCACGTCCTGCTCACCTACGAAGTATGACAGTAATGGGTATAATGCTATGTTTTATTTTCTGGTGACGTGGCTAAAATGCAGTAGTTTCTTATTTGGGACATAATTCTGCCAAACTCAAGAATAGAAGGGCACAAAAATACAGAAAAGAAAAATACAGGGATGCAAAAAAAAAAAAGGACAAAAAAAGAGGAAAAAATGCATCTTCTGTTGCTTTAAGACCATAGCTAAAATATGGTTAAATTGTGCACTATTGTGAAAAGGAGCAAAGTATAGCTGGGGGATCGTTTTTAAGAGGTTAAGATCTTTCTGGACAAGGGCTCATGCCACAGCTTCTCTGAGAGTTGCCCATCATTATTTGTAGGAGCTTAGATGTATAATTGTAACCAAACTCCAGTATTAAAAGTATCTCATGTAATTTTTCTTTATTAAAATAAAATCTTTGGCATATATTTGATAACACTGCCATTAAGAGGCAAAATGTTTACTACCTTAGATTTAAAAAAAAAATCTTAAACAGAGGACTTGCTTCAAGTTTATTTTAATAGCAGTGATTCAGCTTATTTAAAAGATGAATACTTGCACTAATTCCCCTGCTGCTCCAGTCCTGCAGTTTATTGTATCTTGTGACTACATTTTTTTCCAAATATAGGGTAGATGTAAGCTGCTATTTTTTTAATAATCACTACTATATAGTGTCTTTTACTCTGTTTACAATATCAAGTATTTTTCTTACAATGACAGATGTATATGGCAAACCTTTTTCTGCTCATGTGATTAAAAGTATACTGATAGTGATTTTATTTGTAAATGATAGCATGAGGTTGTGTTTATGCGTATGTGTAGTCGAAAAGGTTGCATCATGTCTTGCATAAGATTCCAAGAGTGTAAATTTATAAAAAGAGAGGTTGTCAAATTTATGTCACAGGCATTTTACTTAAGGAATGGTTTATATTACAGAGCTTTGCAAAGTTATCAGTTTTATAACACTATTTCAATCACAAATAATTTTGTGGCTTATGATTGCTAGTCTCTAACCTTTTTTTTTTTCCCTGTTTTGTTTTTTTTTTTCCCCTCCAAGTTAGGTATAAATTGATTTAATTGAGATAATGCAGCTTTGACATTTTAACCATTGTTCTTTAGGCAGTGATTTCTGCTATTTCCATGGAATAAACATGACTTGAAGCAAGTCTGAGTTTGGCTAAGGTAGGGTAGCAATTTGCCAGCGGTAAAGAGAAGTCAACAATACATTCTTTATATATACCCCAGGATTATAATACTATCATACACAGCGTTTAAAACCAACAAAAAATCATATCCATAAAGGCAGTCATCCGCGGTGGTTCGGTGCCAGCTATTTTTAGGGTTTTGGAACATATTACAAATGTTTAGAGCAATTACCCTGTGAGTTACAATATGTAGGAAACCTAATATATTGAGTGTCTGGCACTTGAAATATTGCTTTTATTGCTGGAGGTCCATGACTGTGGCTGACCTCTTTTTTAATGAAATTTAATGAAAAAAAAAAGATAAAAATAAAAAAAAAATTCTGTGCAATAATTTTAAACTGTGCTCCCAGGAATAGACACAAATGTTTTGAGTATGTTTAAGCTGCATTTTTCGTTTAGCAATGCATTTGTCAATTGCACTGAATTTAAATCTGAAAGTCAGAAGTGATTCTTGATAGTACTTTTGTATTTTAATATGGACAGTTTATTCATTTTCATAAAAGTTATTGGATAATTCAGCCAATCTAAACAATTGTGGTGGAATTCTGTGACATAGCTGCAAAATCACACAGCCATGTTTTAGGGTATTGCCATTTTCCTCTTTCTCAATCATCAGCCGTTTTGGTTGTAATTCTAGTTGCTTAAGCATAGTATCACATATTCAGAAATAGGTAAAACAGAGCTTCGGTATCACAGGTCCAGGGTTTTCAGGTGCTTGAAGCACAGTCTAGCAGGAACGTCAGATCTGTCGACTTGAGTGCTCTGGACGCGCAGGCTGAGACCCCCCAACCTAGTGTTAATCAATCGGCAGTGCCCCACTGTAGTGGAATGACGCCAGTTTCCACTAGCAAAGGATCTGGCCAATAGATATTTTATTGTTGTCCTTTACTAGCATGCCACAGTGCTGCTCCTGCTCACACCTCTTCTCGCCTCTTGTTTTATACACTGTTAAATGCATGCATGCAAGGTGTGCTAGGTTCTGTGATTATGTGCTGTGATTATGTGAAGCAAAAAGAAAAAAAAAAAAAAAAAAAAAAAAAAAAAAAAAAAAAAAAAAGAGAACCATGACATTAATTATTGTCTTTTATAGCACAAAGACCTCGTATTCAATAGTGAGGTAGATTATCCAAATTGTTCCTTTAAATTGAGTATGCCAAATGTCAGTAAGACCCTGACTTTGTATAAACATATACACATGCTTAGTCTTACATACTGAGTAATTCTGTTGCGCCTGTTTTCCAAGTGTAAAGGCAAACGTGTGCATAAGCCTTTGCATACATTACAGTTCCTATTTTTTCCAGTTCAACACGTTAATGGGCAAATATCCAAACAGAGGATAAAAGGAAGGGGAAAAACTGGGCTCAGAATTAATGATGGAATAAGAAATGAACTGCTCTCGAATTAGCCGTCTTTCTATGCAAGCATCTCAGAATCCCATTTCTCATTTCTGCATAATTAGGTCCAGGTTTCTGTAGAGTTCCTCTTTTTCTATTTTTACTTTACCTTTTCCTGCATTTTTAAATTGATGTAAAGATTCCCAACCGGTGGACTTTTTAGTGTAGTTAAGAGAATATCTAGGTCCTCATAAAGGCTTTTTTAGACTCTTTGTAATGTTGATAAACTCAGTTTATTCTGGGACTACAATTGTGCAGGGTTATTTAGCGTGTCTACTAGATGATTGGAAATCTTATATGAAACACTAAAAGTGCCTCTTTTTCTGGGTTGGGTGGAGGGAGGTAGTAGTTACCAGAGTCAGAATGACATGGCATTTTGAAGCATGTTTCTTGATTTCATGACACTTTAATGCATCTTGAGAGAAAGGCCAAAGATTTCTACCAATTTTAATTAATTTTCATTTTAAAGAGCACTCCTTTTTCCTTACACTGCTTACCTCATGCTAGGGTATTTAATGGGACATTGTACCTTCGAAATGTTCTTTGTGTTTAGGAAGAACAGTAGGTGGCATAGGGTGGTTGTGCCAGTTTGCCTACGGAGCGAGCTTAGCAGCCGATTCATTTAGTTCTGCTGAATGAAGGAATTTCGTTAAAATCACAAACTGGGTTTTTCAGCTTGTAAATAAAAGGTTGTATGTTTTTTGTCTGTTTAGCGAAGAGGAGCCTTGGGACCCGATTTTTCCAATCTTTACTTAACCAGAAATCCCATTGTCTTTCACTTCGTGAGAAAACCTTGCCAGAATAAGCATTGGAGGCGTTGGGTCTGTGTCATACCGTACAGCGTGCCGCGTAGGTAAAACGAGCCACGTTCCACTCGAGCCAAGACTCCCCTTGGCCTCGGTGGAGGTTTTGCCAGAGCAGGGCCTGCCGGATTTAGCCCAGTGTTCCTTTTTCATTGACAAGCATGATAGCTTCTCCCTTCACAAAGTCCTGTAGAGCCGTTCCCCAGCGGGATCAGTTTCACACTCTCCAGAAGTCTGAAGAAAGCAGAAGCAACATTGTGGCATGTTAGAAGCAAATATGGCTTCGGGAGACAGCAGTAAATCTCCATCAGGATCCCTGACATTTTCCATAGGGAGAGAGCCGTGGAGCAGTCTTCACTTCTCCCTCTAGAGAAAGCTCTGAAATACCACGTTCTGTGAAAGTGTGGCTGTCTTCACTGTCAGTCTGATGGAAGGCAGACGAACCAGGAAAATCTGCCATTTTCTTGCAGATTGCAGATTTAGTGTTAATAGTGCTTCAGATCAGTAGTTTCGAGTACATAATTCGCTTTCTCTGCCTTTAAGTTTGAAGCTTGACAATAACTTGAGGCATGTTTTTGTTTTGTTTTCTTTTTTAAATAATCATTCATTTTTACTTCATAATGTTTTTTGACATTTGTGGGTAAATACAAGAAAACAGTCTGCATGTTGTTGCTAGTCCAGTGTACTTTGCAATCTTGTCCTCAACAGACTGCAGTGTGCAGAACAGTAATTCTAGAATACAGAAGTAACTTTCTCTCTCTCCTGACATTTGACATTGTAGTTGTAATGGTTTCATTTGGAGTTACAAATCCTTTGGGTCTAATTCTGTGAGCCTACCTATAGCACTGGATTAAAATGTCTGCATCATTTCTTCAGTTATCCAGTTAAATTACAACTGTTGTAAAAGTGTAAACCAGCCCATGACAGTTTTTTGTACTTGTTTAAAGGACTTTTATTGTTCAGTTTTCATGATTATTGTCTAAAGACGACTGATATAGATGTTCTATACTGTCCTGGACCATGTTAATTACACTTTATGATGTATTTTGGTTCTACATCACAATGATTTGTCCCCAAGGCCCTTATATCCCTTCTAGGCACATTTTCTGTTGCAGTTTCCCTTTGCATTGTATTGCTTTGACAACTGTAATTTGAATCAGATCTGAAAGAGGTCCAGAATAAAATATATTTTGATATTACCTTGGCTGAATGTAATTTTAAATGCTTGGTACGGAAGACTTACAGATGATTACCTTGGGGAAGTGTTAGACTAAAACACTATTTCTAATATTTATTTTGGCACATTTTCATGTAAGACAATATGTAAGAAGCAATGGGAGGTAATACATTGTACAGCTACATACTCTTTATGAACAGTAGACCCTCTGAAAACGGTGACGCTATCCTCTGCCACCATGTACCGCTATGCGTTTGATTTAGACGAACTGCTTTCTTACGCGTGCGTTTCACGTGCTTCATCTTCTCCTTACCCATACACTTGTGGAAGAGAAGCCGAGCCTAGTGGTGTTCACAGCTACGCTCCAGCTGTTTAGAAGACTTTGGAGGCGTGGGAGCAGGCTCCTGTATGTAATGCAATCTCACGTCAGAGAGATCCGTTCTTACGGAGCAATTCAATTTGGTTATGGAAAGGAATGTTATTTGTGTTACTGTATTTCAGGTATTTGAAAGCATTTGGATTTACACATGAAATAACATGCACCCATCTATACATAATGATGCTTTAATTCTTTTAGAATTGTGGGTCGTGTCACAATCCAAGAGAGCGAACCCAGATGGTTTATTTTCAAGGTCGCTAGAACTTTATAGTGAAATTACTGCTTTTTCATGTAGACTATTCATTTGCTATAATATGTTCAAAAGTAATAGCTTTCTTATTTCAGTAATGTTATCAAAACCAATTTATTTTAACATGTTGAAACTTGCTGTTGAAAAACATACGTAATGGATTAAAAATGGAGGAGGGACTGTATTTTACAAGTGTAAAACCAGTCTTGGATTCCCTTCACCTGGAGTCTGAGTGCACGTCAGGATTTCTCTGTCGCTATTTCAATTGTGAGAGTGCAATATGGAAGCAATTTCATGGTTTTGAGACAGACTGTTTGTCCTAACTAATGTCATGATGCAGAAAGTTTGTGTCTCTTGAAATGTTATTAGCGCAAATGCTCCCCTCTAGAGTATGGCCACCCTGAGATGCAGGAACCACAGAGCGGTGTTGCGATACGCGGATGTTAAGCTTGCATGGTAGTGATGCCCACCTCTGTTCTGTGAGGAGGAGACAGCGTTCCAGGTATTCCAGGTGCATCATGCCATTACTGCCCAAATCTTCCCTTCGAAGTTCAGTTATCCTCATGCTATAACAATCCGGGTTTTATAATTCTGTAGGAACTCGTGATCTCAGGTATTCATAAAGTCCGTGTTCCCTACCTCTAGGGAAATCATTTAATGGAAGTCTAAGCAACATCTTTGGTTCCCTGATGTCAGCACAGGGCAGCTGTAACAGAATAATAATTTAAGAGGAATTTATCGATGATTCTGTAGAGAATGATGATGCCCCAGTTAGTACAATTTGTCCTTAAGGAAAGCTGACCAGGAGATCTGCAGTGCAGAGGCTTTCTTATTTATCTGACTAACTGAAAATTGCTACCATAAAGGATTGTTTGAAGGATTAAAAAAGACACGGGTTTTCTTAATAGATGAAATGTGAAAATGTTCAGCTCCTAGATTCATTCTTCAGATACCAAGTCAAGATTTTGCTCTCGGGAAGACGTCAAGAAGTCTCAATAGAGGTCAAGTACTTTCAACAGACTGTTTCCTTGTTTCCACAGAGATTTTTCTGACTTGTTCTAGATGCTGAGAACCCTGATTTCTACCTTGAGAGCTGCATTTTGAGCTTTCTGAATTACATGTTCTTGAACATTTCAAGACTTCTTCACTGGACTGGCGACGGCTCAGGTCGAGTTCTCCCTTGACCGTTAGAGAATGAAAGGTCCCTGCTCACAGCAACGCTGAGGGGAAGTTTCCAATGACTTCAGTGCAAGCGGAGCTAGGGCAGCACTTCTGAAAAGAAATGTTGGTGGATGAAGGGTTTGTTTCTGACAAATATTAAAAATCCATCTATTAAAGACCATGTTTCCCATTCTACTGTATTGAAGCGCACATATAACAAATCTAAGGTACCATTTGCTCTTCTTGCATGTTATCTCAGCCTTAATAGAAAAAAATTAAATCTGCAGGCTCCACTTAGTTTAATTTCTACCTTTGTCCCTGCTGCAAATGTCTTCTATTGACAAGAACACCTGAAGGTGTAGGGTCAACCTCTAATAAATGCCAGGCACAGGCACACAGGTAGGGTGTAAGTCATCTGAACACGGCTGTTGGTTCTCCAGAGCTGTATTGGGTCTTTACAATCTTTTTCTTCCTCACAGAGTTGTGGTGCTGCATAATTTGCAATCACAAAAGCTATTAGGAGCATAATGTCTGCTAGCTGTTACACTTGAACTGCTTGTGGCTTTACACTTCATAAATGTGGAAAAAGACTTTTTTACGATATAACCACCATGCACTCCTAATACTTAAACTGGGAGCCGCAGTAGATTCTGACATATATCCCTTAATTTCTTGTAAGTGAATAATTTTGTGAGGTAGGACATTCCTGCCTCAGGAAAATAGTGAAGAATTGCAATTACTGATGCTTAGTTTACTTTTTAAATTGTTATTTGACAGTTTTGCAGTTCTTTCACTTTCTATTGCCACATGTCATCTATCTTTCAGTTTGCTTGAATACTGCAGCAAAGCCGGATGCTGATT